GCCTACTCATACCAAATAAGGCACCAACAAGAGATGAAGGTACAATTCCACTGAAGTCCAGCTTGGCAAACCATTGAGTTTATTGGGTAATTACAAAGCATAGCTGAGTGGTTACTTAGAGGAGCAAATCCCAAAACAGCTATAGAAGTCTCACCCAGCACGGATAATGACTTCCTTATGGCTGCATAGACGGAGTCTCCCTTTCAGTTAACCTTTCACATTATATATCCTAGCACCTCCTGAGAACAAAAGACTACGTATATCTGGGGCAGAATTGCATATATCTGGCAGAGGGTGAAGGAAGGAGGGGCTGAGATCTCAGGTCTGTGACCATCCCCACCCAATTCTTCTATGAAGGGATATCAATAGTCTTGATCTTGAAGATCACCTGTGAATAGTCACAGCTGCTTCTGATGCAGGTGATAAGGTTTCTTTCTTTTTTAAAAAAATTTATTTATCTACATGTGTACAGTGTTCTTCCTGCATATATACCTGTAGGCCAGAAGAGGGCACCAGACCTCATTACGGAGGGTTGTGATCCACCATGTGGTTGCTGGGAATTGAACTCAGGACCTCTAGAAGAGCAGCCAGTGCTCTTAACCGCTGAGCCATCTCTCCAGCCCATGATAAGGTTTCTATGCTTGGAGGACAGCATCCTACAACAATAGGAGCACCTATGGAGAATGTGATATGGAGGGACAGGGACACCCAGTTGCTGTGAAGGGAACCCCTGGGCTCTCAAGGGTTGAGATTACACCTGTACATCGCCACAGACCTGTGGCTGCATGGCCTTGGGCAGGTGACTCTAGTTGCTAAGTCTAAGTGGGAGCAGAACTGATACAGGTGTGTGGCAACAACAGTAAGCCTGCCCTGGGGGGTCCCAGTCACCTGTCAGATGCCAAGAAGGTCCTCCTGTCTACGGTCCTTTCAACAATGCTCCCACTCCAGTATCCTCTCTGGCCGGCAGGTGGCATACTTGCTGTTCCCTGAGAAGCTAGGAAGACCTGTGCTCTGCCCATCATCTGACAGCCAGCCATTGTGAATGATGGAACTGGGTCCTGGACCACATGGGTCACAGTTCAGAAATGCTACCATTACATCTTGTACAGATGATAGGTCTGTGGTCGTGAGAACCCAGGGTCACCAAGAAAGTCATCAGCTTTAACCTGAGTCTCTAAGGCCTGAAAAAGGCCCAAGCCAAGCACAGGGAGTGTGGTACAGCCTAGTGCAAAGGGTTGTGGCCAGGCTGGGCCTCTTCAGTAGAGCCGGATCACCAGGACACATGTAAAGCCAGATGCAGTAGCTCATCTCTGTAGTCCCAGCATGCCTATGGCAAGACAGGAGGCAGAGAGAAGAACATTGCTGGAAGCTCACAAGCCAGCTAGCCCAGTCTAAGTTAGCAGTGGCAAACGAGAGACCCTGTCACAAGGTGGAAGGTGAGGGAAGACACCCAAGGTTGTGCTCTGACTTCCACACACATGTTGTGGTACACACTCTCCTGTCCAATCACCACAGTCCACCCTAACAAGCTCTGTCAGCACATGAGGTCCCAACCTGCTTCAATGTGTCACCTCAGCCATCTTCAGCACAAATGCCACCGCGCTCCATGCAGAGCCAAAGGCTCTACTGAAGAGGGGGTTCTTGGCTGCTCCCAGCACTCAGGGAGTGAGCAGGTGCTGTGTGGGTCCTCCTAAGACTGCCCAAGGATCACCCCCAACCTCTGCCTAGCCCTCAGTGGTTGTCTTGCGGGTAACTTTTGCTTTCTTTTTAGCAGGGAGGAACCCACATGGGAATCCCCTGAGCTGTCCAGCAATTACAATGACTCACCCATTTCCCAGCCAGTGAGTGAGGTGAGTCCCCAAGATGTCACCCAGTTTGGTGCTTGTGGGTGGGGCAGTAGTGAGGCCACTTCCCATTCAGGACACCTCCCATCTCTTGACCTGGTCTAACTCTGTACACTCCACACACCAGTCCAAAAAACAAAAAGTGCACACAAAATCTCAAAAGTAGAGAAGTCTAAAGGGACACACTTGTGGTGGCAGCATTGGGCAGTAGACTACGGTTAAGGTTGTTATGGTAATGTCCATCTCTGGCTCGGCTGCCATTAAGGGCAGTGGGCAGTGTCTTGCTGGTGACATTGTTGGTGGATATGGGTGAGAGGAGACCTGGAGGATGGAACAGACACGCATTTTGCCCTCAGGGAAAAGATGCTCTGCTGTGAATAAACCTACTTTCTCTCAGGCTAGGCTGCTAGCTTCTCAGGACACCCTCAGGCCTCTCAGGTGCAGCCTGGAGGAAATACCTCCTTACACTGGTATAGGGGTCTTGAAGAAGTCCCTGCAGTGGGGACTCACTAGTGTGAGTGAGTCCCATGGCTGTTTGCTTGGGGCAAACAGGCTCTAGGAAGCTAACTGACCAATGGCTGCCTGAGTTTGATCAGAAGGGGACAACCTTGCTGTCCTATTGGTGGAATTCCTGATTCAGTTAGGGGAATTCCAACTCCTAACCAAGTAAAGAATGCAGTCAGTGTGGCCGGATCAGTAGCCCCTACTTGAAACAGTTTTCACGGCTGCAGGGGATCTCCTTGTTACCAGGATGTCACCTGGACTCCCCTCAGCTCCCTAGTCCTTGCAGTCTTCATGATATTGCTGCTGTAGTTATTAGGGTCAGAGCCTGTCCCGGCATCCCTAGCAAGCCATGCTCAGTTACTTGTCCTCAATAAGCCAATCAAAGAGAAAAATCACCAGTGAAAAGCAAAAGAGATTTATTCAGTGTGGCCTCATTAGAAAGAAAGACAAAAGCCGGGCGGTGGTGTCGCACACCCTTAATCTCAGCACTCGGGAGGCAGAGGCAGGTGGATTTCCGTGAGTTTGAGGCCAGTCTGGTCTACAGATCAAGTTTCAGGACAACCATGGCTGTTACACAGAGAAACCCTGTCTTAATAAAAGCAATCCAGTGACACAGCCTCCCCCACATCCACCTTCAGGGTCCTGCATGAAGTTTAACTTCAAGTAGAGTCCAGAGTTATGAATCATTAAGTAGGCTGGGTCAAAGTGTGGTCCTGCCCATCACTGACCCATCTCATCGTCTCAGCTCCAGTCCACCCTGCAAGATGGCCTGAAGCTCCAAATCTCTTTCCAGGAGACAAGTTTCTGCTTTGGTTGGCCTAGGCTTCAGCCTTTTCCTTTCTCCTGAATGAGATTCCTGGAAAGTATTTCAGTTTCTTGGGGTATATTAAGAGTCTAATAGCCAAAGAGAAGGGCACAAGTATCTCTCAAAGTCAGTTACAGAATGAACACAGATGAGACTCAGAGAGTACAATGCAGAAGTGTCCATCCTTTTTACATTGTGATATAACATCTACAGGCACTGGGATGCATTCCTGGCCATCCTGGGATACACGCGGCAGGTTGTACATACCTGGTGTAGAAGACTGGTGAGATCTAGTCATTTTGTGTGTATACATATGTGTGTGGTGTTATGTATACATGGTATGTGTGTTTGTGTGTGTGTGTGTGTGTGTGTGTGTGTGTGTGTGTGTGTACCACATATTCAAAGGCCAGACAGCATTAGATAGGGTGCTCTATCACCCTCCTTGGGGGCGAGGGGAGGGGTTCGAGACAGGGTTTCTCTGTGTAGCTTCGGCTGTCCTGGAACTCACTCTGTAGACCAAGCAGGCCTCTAATTCAGAGACCCACCGGCCTCTGCCTCCCAAGTGCTGGGATTAAAGGTGTGCGCCACCGCAGCTTTCATATTCCTGTGAGGTTTCTCCCCGAACCTGCAGCTGGGTTGACATCCAGCAAGCCACCTAATCCCATCCCCTGTCTCTTCTGCAAGAATAACACACACCCAGCTTCTTAAACAGACATGGGTGTGGATCTGAGCTCAGTCCATCACGCTTGGGCAGCAAGCACTCTTGCCACCCGTTTCCCCAGCCTCCAGGTGAGATCTATTAAATAGGAGGGGCTAGAGAGACGGCTCAATGGTGAAGACCACCTGCTGCTCTTGCAGAGTCCTGGGTTCAGTTCCCAGCAGCCACATGGCAGTTCGTAACTGTCTATAACCCCAGTTCCAAGGGATCCGTTGTTGTCTTCTGGGCTTTAGGACACCATTCACCCACATGCATGCATACATGCAGGCAAACATTCATACACATTAAAAAAAAAAAATTGAGGGCTGGAGAGATGGCTCAGAGGTTAAGTGCACTGACTGATCTTCCAGAGGTCCTGAGTTCAATTCCCAGCAACCACATGGTGGCTCACAACCATCTGTAATGAGATCTGGTGCCCTCTTCTGGCCTGCAGACATACATGCAGGCAGAACACTGTATACATAATATAATAAATAAATAAATCTTTAGAAAAAAATGAAATATTCTGAGTGTGCGTGTGTGTGCGCGCGTGTGTGATTAAATACGATTCCTTGCTCTCCTTCCATGATGTGGACCCCAGAGACTGAACTCGGGTCATCAAGCTTGGTGGCAAGTGACTTTACCTTCTGATCTCCAGAGCACCAGGTATGTCTTAGGAGCGCGAATGTTCCAGGAGAGCCTATACCAATCCAAGGCAGCTCACGTCAGCCCCTTCTCGACTTTGCTAAGAAGCCGGGAACCACGCCGCGCGACGCTGACCAATCGTAGCTCGCTGCGGCTCCCTGCTCGCTCCTGATAGGTTCCTGCTTCCGTCTGTCAGAGGGTAGGCCCAAGGCCCCCTATTTGACAAATCGACGCCCGCCGCCGCTCCCTGCGAGCTCCTGGTAGGCTCGTGCGTCTGTCCGTCAGGCGGGGCGGGCCGCGGCAGCGGGGGTGGTTCCCGGCGGGCGCTGAGTTCCGGGCGCGCGGAGACCGTTGGGTGAGGCGGCGCGGATCTGAGCGGGGGGTCGAGTCTCACGGCGGGTCGGGCCGGGGTCAGGCGCGGGGTGGGAGTGGCGGTCGGGGGTCAGATGCGGGGCTGCCGTCGGGAGTGGGGGGGCTTTGCGGAGCCGGAAACTGAAAGTCGGCGGGAGGGGGGCCGGAAAAGTTCGCGACGTCGGCAGCGGTGCGTGGCTACGCGGCCCTAGGCGGGATGGCTCTGGGTCTCGGCACTATGGTCCATTCTCCGGATCTCGGTCCGGGGTCCCGGCTGTGGGACCCACGAGCCCCGCTTGTGCCTTGCTGGCTCGAGGGTGACTGCTCTTGTGCGAACACCTGGGCTCCCAGGCCACTTTTACCGCCCACCTCCCCACCAAAGGCTTCGGCTTTTGGACTTGTGGGGTCAAATTAGGTCTGACACTCCCAGTACTCAGGCGTCGCCTTTTCGGACTCTTTGACTCTCGACTCCACAACCCACGGACTCCCCCCTCCCCTTAGGCCCCTTCCCTGTTGGTGGCTTAGTGGGGGTTGGACCTGGTGGGTACTCTTCATGATGGACACGAAGCCCCAAGTAGGTAGTGAGGACATGAGATTGATTAGAACCCAAAGGCGTACTCTCTGCTGGCCCTAAAGTCGAAGAAGCACCGAGTTGGGGGACTCGGGAAACTTTCGGCCCCTTGGACACAGTGCAAGGTCGTCTTGCGTGCAGCTCACTAGCTGGAAGTCCTCTGTTCCTGGCTACCAGTCGCCCAGAGAGGTCACACTTGGCCTTGCCAGAGTGCTCCATGCCTGTGTGACTGGCTGAGAAAGGTGATATTTAGTGACCCAAAGTTACTGTTACCGGGTGGAGGCCCCAACCAACCCTAAATTGGTGTTTAAGTCTTTTAAAAATTTAGCTTTATTGCTGCATACTTTGCATATCACAGCATTTATAAGCACTTTTGAGTTTTAACAAAAGCGCAAGCTCAAGGGTTGTTTTATTTGCTTGCTTGCTTTTGTTTTTTTCGAGACATGGTTTCTCTGTGTGGCCCTGGCTGTCCTAGAACTACCGCTGTAGACCAGGCTGGCCTCGAACTCAGAAGAGATCTTCCTGCCTCTGCCTCCCAAGTGCTGAGATTAAAGGTTTGTGCCACCACCACCACCTGGCTCAAGGGTAGTTCTTTATCAAGCCTTGTGTGTATAGCTGGAAGGCTGAGTGCTTCCAGCATAGTGTCTCCCTGGTCTGAACTGCAGGGCAGGTCTGTGAGGTGCTTATGTATTTGCTGTTTCTTTTCCTGGGACCCCCTAGCACCACCCCCACCCCCACCCCAGAACTGGACAGACTATTCTCTTGACAGTGCAGGCTGCCAGGAACCCTGTTACTCTTTCCTGTTTGCTGGTCATCGAGGGGCAGGGCTTGGGCCTCAGTACCTCCACACACCTGATGGCTGATGGGAGCTTGGAAAGGGCTAGAGTGAAGGCTGTGCACATGCTCATCCAGTCTCTCTGGCTCCTGGGCTGCAGCACATTGGGCACTTTCTGTCAGAGCCCTCTAGGAATCGCTGGGCTGTGATTCCTCCTGCACCCATAAAGGAGCAGCAGACTGGACTGCGCCCCCAGAACGGCGGCAGTCCACTTAGAGAAGGCCTTCCAAGAAGGAAGTGCTTCCTCCCTGTCACCTCACGCCTGTTTTGGGAGTTGACTTGGGGTTTCCTTCTTGACAGTGGGATGCCAGGCTTCCACTTCCCGTGTGGTCGTTACATAAATTGTGAGAATGGCTTGGCAGGTGGATTCCATGGGAAGTTGTGAGCTTGTACAGGCATGGACAAGATAACCTGGAGAAGAAGAAAAAAATTGCCCATAGGTTCTACAGATTATCCCACAGATCAGATGTGCAGCTTCAAGGCTTATGTTGGACGTCTTCCTCCCTGTTTACTGGCCCTGCCCCCTTTACAGTTGGTGGAGGCTCCACCTGGATGCCACACTGGGCATCCATCACATCACTGTACTGTGCTCGCCCTGCTCCCGTCCATAGGGGAGGAGACCCAATGGGTGCTGTCTGTACCTAAGATCTGGGACCCAGGTAGGCAGTGTAGTTGGTACTTGGGGCAGGTTGTAATTGAGGTGGATGGGAACTGGAAACTTGAACACAAGAAAATCAAGGATTTGGAATTTGGCACATGACCCAGAGTTGGGGTGCTCTGTTTAGAGCAGAGGGCATGGGTTGGGGGAGGAGGTGAGTCTGACAGGCTGGACCAGTTGTCACAGAAATGGGATTGTGTGCTGTGTGCCAGAGCTGGCTGAGCTGGCTGTCTAGTTATTGATGGGGCTGCAGCCATTAGTGAAGGGCTGCTGTCTAGTTATTGATGGGGCTGCAGCCATTAGTGAAGGGCTGCAGCCATTAGTGAAGGGTTGCTGTCTAGTTATTGATGGGGCTGCAGCCATTAGTGAAGGGCTGCTGTCTAGTTATTGATGGGGCTGCAGCCATTAGTGAAGGGCTGCTGCCCTAGCAGCCCAGGAGGGAGAGCTATAGAAGCTGGCACCCCTCCTCCCTCTTTCTGGCTCTGTACTCCTTGCCTTCCGACAGCCAGTCCTGGGAGTCAGGCATTGGCAGGATGGGCATGGTGCAGACCTGTAAGAACTGTTGGGAGCCAGGGGGAGGGAAGACAGGTGGAGTTGGGGCAGCTTTAGGTTTCATGACCAGAGCTGGGAAAGCATTGACGTTCTGAGGTGATAGAGGCCCAGACTTCATGCTGTGGTAAAGGTCCCTCTGGCTGCCAGGAGGCCACAGTGGCAGGAGGGAAGCTATGCAGTCAGGGCTGGAGCTATCCATTATGTTTGAGTGTTGAGGTCCTAACAGAGCCCAGGTGCTCCATTCACAGGTTAGAGAGGGGTGTGTGTGTGGGTGTGGGTGTGGGTGTGGGTGTGACATTAAATCTAAATCTGTGTTACCAGGTATGCGACACTGAAACAGGAGAAGAGATTCTGAGGGCATGTCTGAGAGAAGGATAGATGTGGAGGTTAGAGCCCTGCTGTGTGTTGTGGCCTTTTTTTAATTAAAGCATTTTTTACTTAGTCATGCAGTGGTAGTGTACCCCTTTAATCCCAGCACTTGGGAGGCAGAAGCAGGCGCATCTACATAGGGAGTTCTGGGACAACCAAGGCTACACGGAGAAACTCTGTCTCAAAACCACAACCACTCCCAAATTTTTAATTAAAGTTATTAAAATTTTAATCTTTATTTTATGTGCATTAGTGTTTATCTGCATGATGTCTGTGCAGCACATGTGTACAGTGTCTGCAGAGGCCAGATGAGGGCATTGGGTCGCCTGGAACTGGAGTTACAGGTGGGTTGTTGATTACCCTTGTGGGTGCTAGGAACCAAACTCTGGTCTTCTGGAAGAGCAGCAAGTACTCCTAACTGCTGAGCCATCTCTTCAGCCCTGCACTTTGTTAATTGAATTAATTGGTTCTTTGACAATTTGTGTATATTTTAAAAGCCTTCTGATTACTGGTGCTCCACACACAGCTCAGAAGTACTCCCTATAAAACCTGTCCTACATTCATGTCTCTGGTTGTTTTGTTCCAGCTGGGGTTTTTGTTTTGGTTCGTTTATTTTTGACGTGGTATCTCACTGAGTTTCAAACCCCCCACAGAGCAGATGCACATGTGATACAAGGAGAAGCATCCACCTCAGAGAAAGGGACAGAGTCAGGTTTGCCCTCCTGCCCAGGGCTATCTGCCATTTTGGGTGCTTAGGGTAGATGGAGGTTATATATATGCTCTGTGAACTTGGATGGAGGAGTCATTAGTTTGTATATGCAGAAGAACTGAGTGAATGTGGGCCTGGGTGAGCTGTGAGCAGGTTAGGGACACCCCAACAGCCTTGTCCTGGTGCTCCATACAGAAGCTCTCATCTCTGTCCTGCCAGGTCCCCTTCAGGAGTTGCTGCCTTAGACATCCGTGTGCCTCTTTGGTAAAGCATACCCATGAGTGTGTGGGGTCATTGTGGTGCTTAGTGTTTCCCAGAGGTGAACAGGGGGAGATGACATGCTGTTTGTAGTGCAGTAGCTGTGTGTACTTGTTCTAGATTTCAAGTGTGCTGAGTTAAAGTGCCTTCTGCTTGGGCTCTCTTAAGTTACCCCATCTAGGTGTACAGGGGAAATTTCTTTGAGACATGCAGACAGCACAGAGGAGTTCAATGAAGCTCTGTAGGCTACTAGGCGTTGCCCTAATAGGACTCTTGCTTCTGAACTCAACACCCTCAGCCGAGGGTTGGTTCACAGAAACCAGTCATACTGGTGCCTGTCATCTGAAAACCATTGGTTGAATGAGAAGAAGGTGGCAGGTGACAGCTGTCCCTGATGCATTGTGAATGGCGTGGTGTTGTTTTAATATGTGTAATCAGAATCAAAGTGTGCTTGAAAGTTTTGTAAGCTGCTTGTAAGTAACAGTCATCTTGATAATGAATGTTGCTTTGAAAGGCCATGCTGGTGTATATCCAGGCATGTTCTGTTGGTGCCTGGGTCTCTGTGGTCTCTTGGGACTCTGAGCACCTGATTATTGGCAGAGGCAAGTGACATTGAGTTTGAAGAAGGGTCTAGGGCAGGAGTGTTTGGGAGCAATAGGAAGAAGCAGTGGAATCAGGGCATAGTCAGTATAGGAGTTGTGCAGGTGTCTCTTCTGAGTGTGGCTCGACACTGTGGGTGATGGTGTTTGGTATAGGTGTGAAGGAGAACAGGGCAGGGTGTCCATCAGAGGAGGCAGAATTAGCAGGATTGACCAAGAGTTGGGCAAGGAGTGGGCTCAGAACCCATGGGCTTGATGAGTCCCTGGAGAACAGCAAGTAGTCCTGAGGGCATTTGGCAGGAAAGAGGAGGGAAGGCCTTGGCAGACTGGCCACTCCCTCATTTTTGCAGGCCAGTAGACCTAGAACCAAGTGACTTACAATGTGGCACTAGACCCACACTCTTGTTTTCTCACTATAGCCTTCCACCAGTGCTTGACTGCTTAATGGGGCCTTGTTCGTGCGGGATGTGAGTGCCCCAAGGCTTTGGGGGACAAGACAGCAGGGCAGGCAAGTCAGTGGGGCCAGCAGCGTTTGAGGGAGGCAGACAATGCTGCCCTTGTTCCTGGAGCCGGAGAACTGCCTCTGGGATTTAAATGTGGGAATGGTTCTAAGAGGTGATTTGTTAATTAAATGAAACATGACGGATTTGCTGGGAAGAGAGGACTCTGGGAATGTTGCTGCTCCTGCTGCTTATGGCCTTCCTGCCTCCAGTACATCTCAGTTACCACACACTTCTTAATCTGTATCCCAGGGCACATAACCCACTTCTTCCTTAAGCTCCCCTTCTGAAACTGAACCCCTTCTTGGCAGCAAAGACCCTGGGAGTCCATGCCCATGTCCTCCCACCCCTCACCCCAGACCTCTTTGCCCTCCTTGGGACTAGCCTGCTCTTTTGAGTGAGAGCCAGTGGTCTTCCCACACCTTCTCACAGGCTCTGAGGAATGGTTAGCAGAAGGTATGGTTAGCGGCTGCCCTCAGCCTTTAGGAAAGATGGTAAGGAGGTTGTCACTGGGAAATGGTGTATTACAGGTATGAGAGGCCATTGGAAGACATAGAGGTACCATGCTGCTACTTCAGGTAGTCCAGGCCTCTCCACACCTGCCTCAGCCTGAATAGACCTGTCTTCCTGGGCTCCCGAGTGTGAGGGCTCCCAGAGTGCTACCTGAGAAAATGGGGGAGAGGCAGGCCTGATTGCCGTGTAATTCCTCTGGGAGTTGAGAGGGAACCAGTAGAGACTGCTGTGCCGGAGGATGAAGGAAGAGCCTGGGGTGGAAGAAGAGCCAGAGTTGATAGAACAGGAAAACAGGATGCAGTGGGCAGAGGGGCTCTTCTGGTGTGGTGGGTGATGTGGGAGGAGGGCAGGGAAATGGGCTCTAGTTGATTTTGAGGGAAACATGTTGGCGAGGATGGCAGGTGTCAGATCTAGAAGAGGGCCTCTGCAGGCTGTGGGCTCACTGCAGTGTGTGGAGACCTGAGGGCAGTTAGGGAGCACAGTGATCAACACCTCAGCCCAGGTATGTCCACCTCCGGGTGCTGTTTAGGACCTAAGGAAGCTGTCCACCAGCTTAAACCTGTAGGGACCGTGCGTATAGATGGAAGACACTATTAGTTTCAGCAGGAAGTGCTCCAGCCAGGATTGATTTGATGCCAGAAGGTAGGAAGTTCATGGATTGGATAGTAACTGTGGGTGCCACCAGGTCCCTGTCCCCCCTACTGACATCTCTTCCCACATTTGTGGCAGATTTGTTTGGCTTATCTTAGAGCCTTCCCAGAACTCCTAAATCTTGTTTCTTAGATCCTCTTTCAGGGTCAGTGAGTGTAGTGACCCAGGCACCTCACCATCACCTTCTTTTTCCCTCTAGAGCAGTCGTTCTTAACCTGTGGGTTGTGACCCATTTGGACGTGGAACTACTCACAAGGGTCGCCTAAGACCATCAGAAAACAGATATTTATATTGCGATTCATAACAGTAACAAAAGTACAATTATGAAGTAGCAACGAAGATAATTTTATGGTTGGGATCACCACACATGAGGACCTGTATTAAAGGACTGAAACATTAAGAAGGTTGAGAACCACTGCTTCAGAGGATTATTCTGAATTGAGGTGTGATATGGTCTGTGTTTTTCTTTAGGGCTTTGTGGCGTGTGGGGGTTATAACTCACATGGCTGCAGCCAGTGTGACTCCCCCTGGCTCCCTAGACCTGCTGCAGCCTGGCTTCTCCAAGACCCTCCTGGGGACCAAGTTAGAAGCCAAGTACCTGTGCTCAGCCTGCAGAAACATCTTGCGGAGGCCCTTCCAGGCCCAGTGTGGTCACCGCTACTGTTCCTTCTGCCTGACCAGCATCCTCAGGTGTGCATGGCATGCTGCCCGGTGGGCAGGGGCAAGTGGGTGGCTCTGATGTTAGATTGCACTGTCTAGAATAGTGGTTACCAGTACAAATCCTCCTTGGATTCTGGAGGCTTAGCCCAAACCAAGAATGTAAAATCCACCATTTAAGAACATTGATTAGAGCTGGGTGTGGTGAAACAGTCCTGTAGCCCTAGCACTCGGAAGGCACAAGCAGAAGGATCTTTGTGAGTTCAAGGGCTACATAGACTTTGTCTCAAAAAAAAAAAAAAGAGAATTCAGAATTGATCATAGCAAGGTATAGTAGTATATTCTTATTCCCAACTCTTGGGAGGTAGAGACTGGAAGATCAGAAGTTCAAAGTCATCATTGGCTACATAGTAAGTTCAAAACCAACCTCAGATCTATGTCTCAAAAAATAACAACGAGGGGTTGGGGATTTAGCTCAGTGGTAGAGCCCTGGGTTCGGTCCTCAGCTCTGAAAAAAAAAAAACAGCGAAAGTCCGAGAGATGCTCAGTGGGTTCAGGCACTTGCTGCCAAGCCTAATGACCTGAGTTTGAGCCCCAAGGTCCCCACACAGAGTGGAAGGAGGGAGCTAAACTCCCACAAGTTGTCCTCTGACCTCTACCTGCACACCTTGGTACATGTTTACACACACAATCAATTTTAAAAATGCAATTGAAAAAAACGTAGCAGTGGAGCTGGATAGACAGATGGTAAATACTTGCTGTACAGTGAGTGTGATCTCGTCCACCTGTGTGAAAGTAGGGCATGGTACTGTGCATTTGTAATCACATCATATGCCTGGAGACAGAGGGGAGGAGTCTTGGGACTCATTGTTTAGCCTAGCCTAATAAACCTGTGTGTTCTGGGGACTGTGGGAGTTCTGTCTGAAAAAAGGTGGTGGTACCTGAGGAGGAATACCTGATGTTTGACCCCTGGCTTCCACATACACATGTATGCACCTGTGTTCACACAGGAACACATACTTGTGTGCACACAGATGGGAACATAGGCTATATATTAGAATATTATTTTTGGACGTGGGAGATTAAGTATAGTACATCATTGTTGGTTTCACAGGCATTGGAAAATTTAGTGTGAGGGTTATAGCTCCCTTAGGCTGTTCTGAGTAGATAGGCTGAATGTCATGTGGGTGGGTGGCTGACGTGTGTCACTGTGCAGTGATATGAAAGGGCAGCAGCAGTGCATGTGGAGAAGATAAACACACCCACATGATTCAGTGTCAGGTTTTTCAGAGAGCCAGTGCCTTGTTCACAAGTGGAAGGAGTGGGGCTGGAGTTGAGGCTCCGTGATAAAGCACTTACGTGGCATTCATGAAGCCATACCTCAATCCCTGACGTCACAAATTCAAAAAAAAAAAGGAAGACATGAGTTGGCCTTGCAAGTTCAAGTCCTGATACCCTTTTCCACATTTGAATTCTCTCATTTGTGAATTTTTAAAATATTGTTCAGTTGATATACTTGTTGATCAAGATGAGAAAAATTAAGAATGAGTGGCGTGGAGTTGGGTTGTGGGCTGAGCAGGCAGTGCTCAGTTAATCCATGCCACAAGTTTTGCAGTGGGGTTTTCTGTTTCCTCTCTTCCCACCAGCTCTGGGCCTCAGAATTGTGCTGCCTGTGTCCATGAAGGCCTGTATGAAGAAGGCATTTCTATTTTAGAGAGTAGCTCGGTAAGTACACTGTATTGAGCTAAACAAGCCAAAATGAACAGAAAATATTTAGAAATTTTGTTTAGTAACATTGGTAACAGAATGAGAAGTTGGGAGCTAGAAGTGGCCTCATGACTATTTGGGCGGGAGGAGGGGAAGGTTGGGAAACGGCTTAGCTGGTCCTTAGTTATCTTCAGCTTCATGTGCTGGCTCAGGAGGGTGGCACAGGTTGTTTTGGGTAGGGTCTCTGATCTAGATGTTGCTTCATAGGCAGTAGGGTGCTGGGAGAAGGTGTAACCCAAGGACGTTCCTGTTCCAGGCCTTTCCAGATAATGCTGCCCGCAGGGAGGTGGAGAGCCTACCAGCTGTCTGTTCCAACGATGGATGCACCTGGAAAGGAACCTTGAAGGAATATGAGGTAGAGAGACATTTCTGTTCTGGCCTGCTGGCTGAATCTTCAGCAGTGGGCTTTGGGGAGTTCTACTTCCCGAAGCTTTTTTTTTTTTTTTAAATGATTGGTTTTTTTGTTTTTTTTGTTTTTTTTTTTTTTGAGCTGGGGATCGAACCTAGGGCCTTGCGCTTGCTAGGCAAGTGCTCTACCACTGAGCTAAATCCCCAACCCGATTTGTTTATTTTTATTTTATATGCATTTGTGTTTTTCATGCATGTATGTCTGTGTGAGTGTGTTAGGCCCTTGGAACTGGAGTTACAGACAGCTGTGAGCTGCCATGTGGGTGCTGGGAATTGAACCTGGGTCCTCTGGAAGAGCAATCAATGATGTTAACCTTTGAGCCATCTCTCCAGGCCCTACAAAACAGTTCTCAGAGAAGCTGTTCTCTGCTCCTGCTGGGACTGGCCTGACTAATGTATGTGAAAAAAGAACTGCTCCTTAGAAAGTGTTCCTTTATGAGGGTATGGTGCCACATGCCTGTAATCTAGGCCATACCTAGAGAATCCTTTGTTTTGTCTCTTTATTTTATTTTTTTAAAGAGTACTCTTTCTGAACCCCAAATAGTTCAGCATAGACCTGTACCACAGAGCTTGTCGCTTCTTTCCATGTCTCAGTTTCCTTCTCACCCCAGAGGTATGTGGAACTGGAGGTACCTTAAGTAAGGAGCTAGTGTCAGGGTAGCATCACATTGGCTTAGATTGCAGATCTCCAATTTTGTTGGAAACTGCAGCTTCTAAAGCCAATGAGATTCTATGTAGTATGTCATACCCACAAGGGTTTTCCTTTTTGTTATTTGTTTTCTGGTTTGCTTGTTTTTTTTTTTCTTTTCTTTTTTTTTTGTTTTTTTTTTTTGAGACAGGGTTGCTCTCTATAGCCCTGGTTGTCCAGAGATTCACAGAGATCTGCCTGCTCCTGAGTCCTGGGATTAAAGGCAAGCACTACCATGACTACCTCAGAGGGTTCTCTTGTGATTTGTGTTGACACTGGAAATTGTTCAAGTAAAGAGTATATTTGTAGCCGGGCAGTGGTGGCGCACGCCTTTACTCCCAAAACTCAGGAGGCAGAGCAGGCGATCTCAGTGAGTTTGAGGCCAGCCTGGGCTACAGAGTAAGTTCCAGGAAAGGCGCAAAGCTACATAGAGAAACCCTGTCTCAACGCCCCCCCCCCCCAAAAAAAAGGGATGTATTTGTTATGTGGTCATGGAAAGACATCTAAAAGGCCAGTAGCAGAGTTAGTGTACGAATGGTGGTGTACTGATGGTGGTGTACAAATGTAGTGGGAGCATTAATGTGAGCCTCATGTCACCTTTAGACATCGTCAGTTAAACCTGCACCACAGAGGTCAGGTGGTTAGGTAGGCCACTTCAGTCTACCAAGTTACTCATTCCTCTTTGATGGCTCAGTCACCAACCTTCAAAAAGGTTTTGTCTCAGCTAGACATGGTGATGTACATCTAATCCTAGTTCTTGGGAGGCTGAGACAGGAGGATCATGAGTTCAAGGGTAGCCTGGGCTGCTTAATGAGACCTCATCTCTCCTATGGTCTGCCATGTGTCTGGCTACATGTCCCATGTCCTCCTGTTGATTGATTACACTTTGTGATCTCGGGCTTTGGGTTTCATTTTGCAAGATGAGCAGTTTGGGCTTCACTGGGTGAACAAGAAACTATGGTCTTCTTTTCTAGCATGGTGTCAGGGCCTGATCAGGAGCCATAGTCCACAGTATATTCTTAAAGTGAAATGCCTAGTGTTGTCTCAGAAAGAGATGGCCCCTAGGGAAATAGGGTGGATGCAGGAAAATGTGGGTGTAGAGCATGGGGGCCCCATATAACCTATTGCCCTTGAAGGTGCTTGAGAGATTCCTGGGGCAGGTGGAAAATTAGTTCCCAGCGCTGTTAGACTCAAGATTCCTCTGGGATTTCTGTTGCCTCCAGGCCTGTGGTACTAGAGGTCAGTGGCTGTGTGGGCCTCTGACTGACGGCCAGGGACTGCAGCCAGGCTATGGGCTTGGTGCCATGTGGCTTTGCAGGCATGCAGGCTGGAAAGTCCCTGGCTGCACCCTTTGAGAGCTCTGGAAAGTCCCTGAGATGAGTTGGGTTTGGTCACGTGGGAGGGCAGGCACAGCTCTGCCTTAGCTGATTTTATTGATAAAAACTTCTCACTGGTAGCAAATGTCACAGACCAGACCAGAAATTACATACTCTGTGTGTAGTCGTTACCACCTTTGCAGATGATCCTGTCTCTCCTGCCTGTCACACATCTGTTTGTTTGTTTCTTTCTTTCTTTTTTTTTCCGAGACAGGGTTTCTCTTGTTTTGGTGCCTGTCCTGGATCTCACTGTGTAGACCAGGCTGGCCTCAAACTCACAGAGATCCGCCTGGCTCTGCCTCCCGAGTGCTGGGATTAAAGGCGTGTGCCACCACCACCTGGCTTGTTTATTTCTTGGTTTTCACTGAAAACTAAGACTGGGACTAAAACTTTTTTTAATGGTTTGAATTATTTAAAATGTTTGGAAAGTTGGAGAAAAATCCTGCTTAGCCTTTGGCTTTGCTTTTCCTTTATGATGATGCCTGTTGTTCTGAAGATGGATTGAAAGCCCTGTTCAAATCTGCTCTCTCAAAGGGCAAGGCATGGTGCTGCATACCAGTATTCCCGCACTAGGGAAAACAAAGACTAGCAGATCTCTGTGAGGTCAAGGCAAGCCTGGTCTCTACATAGTAAGTTCCAGACCAGCCCGGGCTACAAATCCTAAGGAGCACATTGGGAGGCAGGTGTGCCAGTGTGCATGGCCTAATTGTATGTTCTTCTTCTTTTAAATCTTTTTATTTTGTGTGTTTTATCTTCATGTGTGTATGTGCATCACATGTGTGCCTTATGCCCAAAGAGGAACTAGAAGAAGGCACCGGGATCCCTAGAACTGGAGTTAAGGTTGGTTGTGAGCCGTCCTGGGGGTCCTGGGGGTAGAACCTGAGTCCTTTGCAAGAGCAGCAAGTGCTCCTAACTTGGAGTCATCTCTCCAGCCCCACAATTATGTGTTCTTAAGAAATTCAGTTATGGTGCTAGAGTGTTGGCTCTGTGGTTAAGAGCACTGGTTGCTCTTGCAGAGGATCTGAGTTCAAGTATCGGGGACTATGGGGACTATCCAGCCCCTCGATAGTCCCCTCTCAGGGTCCGTGAAGAATCTACAACGCTGATAATTAATCTTTGATGAGAAGAAATGAATCTATGTGCACGAAAACTCCTTAGTTCATATACTTTATCATTCTGTGTCAGTTACAAGCTTATATTCTGCTCTCATATTTAGCTCATTTCTAGCCTGATTTCTCTCTACACTTGTCTGAGGTCCCCTCTAGGTTCCATCTTAATTCCTTCATCTAGTTCTGCCCCTTCTAGGTTCTCATCCATCTTGTTCTTTCCCATATCAGCTCCTCTCCCATCTCCTCCTCTCTCCTGTTCCTCTCAAGTTCTTACCCGTCTAGTTCTTCCATATTCTTTTCTCTTCCCTGTCCTCCACGTGCTCTGGAAGTCCCGGTATATATACACTTACAAGCAGTATTCCCTTAGCAGTGCAAAGCCAGGTTTCCAGGGTCAAATGGAGGGGTGATAAGAATCACATATAGGGGGCTGGAGAGATGGCTCAGAGGTTAAGAGCACTGACTGCTCTTCCAGAGGTTCTAAGTTCAATTCCCAGCAACCACATGGTGGCTCACAACCATGTCTAATGAGATCTGGTGCCCTCTTCTGGCCTCCAGACATGCATGCAGGCAGAACACTGTATACATAATAAATAAATAAATTTAAAATAAAAGAATCACATATAGGGAGGCAATAACCGTTAATTATCATTTGCAACCCCAAAGGGAAGTGACCAATGGGGAAATGAATTAACTAAAGGCTAAATTCAGGTAATATCTAAGAAGAGGGATCTTATGTGCTCAACTATAATCTTAAACGTGATTGGTAGAAAATGTTAAGAATCTATAAGTTGCTAGGTCAATGGGAGAAAATAAAACTGTCTTCTTTTTTCCTATGACTCATATCTGTCCCAGCTATCTGCTATTTTTTTGCAGGGTGGGGGAAAGTGTGCTCGGTCGCTAGGCAGCCTGTACAGCTAGATGCCTCTGGTGATAGTTAAAGGGAGATCTGGAACGATTTGGGAAAGGAGGAAGTTAAGCTTAATTGGCACATCCGCCAGGCCTTCTCAGACAGGTAGCCTGGATGCTTAAGTCTGTTCTTAGAGAGTACAGAGGTATTTCTGATAAAGTACTTTCCTGTATCTGGGGATGGACCTGGCCGGATGCTGCCAATGATGATAATTACAGGGAGGCTTGAACTGGGGTTCTGGCTGAGCATAGCTGTCAGCACAGAAGGTTATCTAACTATTCCTAGAAGTGGTTAGATAAGGAGTTAAAGGTCTATAAAGTTAGTAAGGCTGTAAGAAAGGAGGGTCCGAGCTAAATTGTGTAAAGCTATTACTGAACATCCACCTGGCCTAGGCGGTGTCTCCTTGTGGAATTTGTCTTAAATCAGGAGACTTGCATGTGGACTGTTATTACTGCTAGTCCTTGAAAGTGGCCAAGGGAGATATCTGATTCCAGAGGAAGCCTTTCCTGAGGCTGTTCTCCAAATACCTGGAATGTGTATGTCCAGAGAGTGATCAGTCCACACTGTTAGCCCTTCTTAGGGAAAAGTCAATTGGGAAAACTATGAAGGCACACATGATTTTCATAACAGAAGACAGCTGATATATAACAAGCCAAGTAACACCAAAAACTGCTTGGGATTTGGCTTCCTCTGGAGGAATTCCCTGATCCCTCCAGGTAGTGACTTTGCCATAACCAGCTGAGTTCTTATGATATATTCCTGCGGCCTGCAGCATTCAAGTCCCAGCAGCCCCATGACAGCTCATAGCTGTCTCAGCTCAAGTTCCAAAGGATCCAGTGCCCTTTTCTGGCCTCCTTGGGCACTATGTGCACATGGTACATAGTCAGATGTGGGCAAAACACCTATATATATATAATTAAAAAAAAAATCTAAGCTAGGTATGGTGTAATCCCAGCACTTGGGAGACAGAAGCAGGTTCATCTCTATGAGGAGTTTGAGGTCAGTCTGGTCAACATAGTGAGTTCCAGACCAGCCAAGGTTACATACAATACCCTGTCTCAACTGCCTGCCCCCGGCCAAGTGGCCCATGCTTTTAATGCCAGCACTCAGGATGCAGAAGCAGGGTGATCTCTGAGTTCGAGGCTAGCCTGGTGTACTGATCGAGTTCCAGGGCAGTCAGGTCTACACAGAGAAACCCTGTCTCAAAAAACAACAAAACAAACAAATCTTTTTTAAAAATCATTTATGGCAACTGTATTTGCTAAAGATGTTCAGTTTGAATTCTGGTTGAGTTAATGCTGAAGTATTTGGATTGTGTCTGCTGGGGCTGTTGGGGAGACAAAGCTTTGTCCTTGTTGCCTGAGTGTGTTGGGACAAGTGTATCTTCTGCCTGTGACTCTGGTTTCCCCAGAACCGATCTAAAAAAGCCAGGGATGGCAGCATACTCCTGTAATCTCAGTGTTGGAGAAGCAGAAGCAGGAGGGTCCCTGGGGTTTGGTGACTGGCCAGCCTCGACTAATCAGTGAGCTCCAATTCTCAGGGCCTGAGCTCAGCTGGGAATTTGAAGCACCAATGCAGGGCATTGAACCTAGGGCCACGAACATGAAAAGCACATACTCTACCACTGAGCCATACCCAGCCCAGGAGAAAAATTTTATTATTGAAATTTGTCAGGATCAGGGGTTCAAAGCCATCCTCAGCTACATAGAAAGTTCGTGGTCAGAATGGGTTGCATAAGATCCTATCTCAAAAAAAAGTAAGAGAAACATTCGGCAACTTTGAGCAGTGAGCTGAGAGCCAAGTCGCTGTTAGGGCTCCTGGGTGCCTCCCAGACTGCTGTCAGCTGCCTCTGCCCGTGTTTCCTTTATGGATTACGTCAAAGCAAATCTAAGCTGCCTTGTCACTCATTTTCTTTTTCAGTAGAGAGGAATGAATCCAGGGTTGTGCATTCTAGGCTTTCTACTACCGTATGTACAGCTTTGAGCGCGCGCGCGTGTGTGTGTGTGTGTGTGTGTGTGTGTGTGTGTGTGTGTGTGTGTGTGTGTGTATGTGTATGCATATGCATGCTTGTATGCATGTGGAGGCCAGAGGTCAGCCTTGGGTGTTGTTCTTCAGGAGCCATTCACTTTGTTGAGAAAGGGTTTCTTATTGGTCTGGAGCTCACCAGTTAGTCTAGGCTGGCTGACCATCTTACCTCCGAGATCCTCCAATCTTACTTTTCCCAACATTGGGTTTATAGGAGTACACTGCTCTATGTGGCTTTTGTCTGTTTGTTTTGCTTTTTACATGGAAAAATTAAGGTCATTGTTTTTGTGTGACAAGTACTTTATCAATTGAGCCATTTCCCCAGCCCCAAATAAAAATAGCCTTTTAGCTAAATTATAGTAACTTAACTATTTGTGCTTTAGGTTTACGCTCTAGAAACTGTTACAGCATAGTAACTCCTCGAGGCCCCTCTTTGTGTGTGTTTTAATAACTAATTGTCATCTACTCAGAGAGTTACGGGAGTATGGCATACAGCACATCTGTGCTGGGCCAGAGAGCTCCTTAGACTTGACTGTAGTGTGGTTATCTGTGTTCCTGTGTGTCCTGTCTTGGGGGTTGCCCAGCATTCAGATTGAATGTTCATGCCTTATCTAGAATCCCACTTGCTTCCTGGGATCTGAATGAGGATCCCTCACCCCCTTGTCCCCTCCGAACAACCTTCCTCCAGAATTGTTTGGACAACTGTGAGCTGTAGCCTCTATTTTCATGGCCCTGCTGATGGTCCTTCCTGCCCTGCTCTGGATTTTCACTCAGCCTCAGGAACTTACTTCTTGCCTATTAACCTTCTCCTGGTGGTTCTCCTCTTGTGTCTTCTGCTTCAGAGCTTCTCTATGAGTTCAGTGAGATGACCAGGCACGGGGGACCAGTTCTATGCTGTTGTATGCACACATGTGTCCATAGCAGGGGCAGTAAGGTAAAGGTTTCCAGGGGCAGAGGAGTCTATTAACAGAGACTCAGTTTGCGTTTAAGAAGGTGAGAGTTCTATAGATGGAGAGTGGAGGCTGCACAGTACCAAGTGTGCTTCCTCTACTGACCTGTGTGCTTAACGTGTAGGGTGTTGCACGCATCCTAATTGGTCTTAATAAAAACTTGGAGTCAGATATCAGAGTGAAAACTGAAAGATCAGAGAAGCAAAGCAAGCCACAGCCACCACCTCTCACCTCACCAACTCCTCAGCCTGAAAGAGTACGAGTTCCTGTCTCCTCCTGCCTTATATTCCTCTCTCTGCCCAGCCATATCATTTCCTGTCTCAACTTTCCTAGTGCTGGAATTAAAGGTGTGGGCCACCACTGCCTGGCTCTATTTCTCTTTTAGACTGGATTGATTTCATGTAGCCCAGTGTGGCCTTGAACTCACAGAAATCCAGATGGAGCTCTGCCTCTGCCTTCTGAGTGCTAGGATTAAAGGTGTGTGCCACCACTCTGTGGCCAGCTGTGGCTGGCTCTGTCCTCTGATCTTCAGGCAAGTTTTATTTCTTAGATTACAAACAATATATCACCACATTAGGGTCTCAAGGCATGGTTGGTGCAAACCTTTAATCCTAACACTTGGGAGACAGAGGCAGGTGGATCATCTGTAGAGCAAGTTCTAGAACAGCCAGGGCTACATAGAGAAACCCTGTCTCAATCCTCACCTCCCATCACCCCCCACAAAAGTGTAAGGAGGGAAAACAAGAAGATAGCTTAGCCAACAAACCTCTAATGCTATGTTTCTCTGGTAACCTAAGAGACATCATGACCATGGCAACTCTTACAAAGGAAAGCATTTAACTGGGGGCTTGCTCATTGCCCTGTCTCTCCTGGTTTACTGGGTAGGATGTCCCTGTATTGGTGCTTATTGGTCAGCTGAGAGGCACAGTGCATCTATGGTGTGGTTTGCTCCTGTTGTTCAGTCTGCTGGGGTGGGGTCTGGGGTAGTCTTGTGTATCACTCTGGCCCTTCACAGCATAGCCCTCAGGTATACATCCTGTACATTGAGAACAGCTGGCTCTAGGCTGACCTCCCAGCACCTTAGCCCGGCTGTCTGTGTGGTACGTTAGGCCTTTGCTAGGTCGCCATGGCCAGAGCTGCAGGTCTTGGGAGCCACGCAGCTACTTTCACATGATCTCCACGTCTCCCTTGTACATCTTTTGCCTCCCGCCTCCACTGTAACAGCGATGAGGTCAGGACTGGTAAGGTCTGCAGCATGGCCCCACGGTGTGTTTGTCTTCATACTGGAGAGCAGTCCACTACTTAGTTGGGAGGAGGGGTGGCATGGGTGTACAGTTGAAGAGGTGAGTGTCCTCGGGTACCACTCACCCAGAGACCAGCTGCAACGGACCAGCTCAGTCTAGTGCAGCTGGGAGTCAGCATCCCTGCTTTCCAAAAGTGGAAAGAGGATGCACTGACCTGTGTCTTCACGGTGAGTGGTCTCGAGGAGGGCGATCTCCATGATGAGTAGGCAGGATAACATGGAACACCAAGCCACTTGCATGTGCTGGGTTACCTGCAGGGTCTGCATACTATCTTCATATACCTCCTTTTGTTGCCAGAGCTGCCACGAAGGACTGTGCCCATTCCTGCTCACCGAGTGTCCTGCATGTAAAGTCCTGGTCCGCCTCAGCGAGAAGGAGCACCACACTGAGCAGGAATGCCCCAAAAGGAGCCTGAGCTGCCAGCACTGCAGGGCACCCTGTAGCCATGCAGACCTGGAGGTGCGCTGGGCGGGTACAGCCTGGGTGGCATTGTCTACACACTGGTAGTCAGCTAGAGTTTGCTGCCATGGTTGGAGTTTGCTTAGCTTCTGCTTCATACTTGTCTCCATGGTGCTGTGGAAGTTAGAAGGTTCTTGGTGGGACTGAGCTTTGGTATGTAATTACAGTTAAGAGTACTTGTTGCTCTTTTAGAGGATCTGGGTTCAGTTCACAGCACCCACTTGATGGTACACCATAACATCAGTTCCAGGGGATCCAATGCCTTTTCTGACTTATGTGGGCACCAGGAAAGCACATGGTTTACCAGGCAAAACACTCATACATATAAATAAATAAATCTAGAAGTATTTACATGTATATTTTGAGACAGGTTCTCGTCTGTAGCCTTGGCTGGACTGGAACTTGCTATGTAGACCAGGCTGGTCTCAAACTTACAGAGATCATCCTGGTTCTGCCTTTCAGGTGTTGGGATTAATGGTTTGTGCCACCATGCAGGACTGAAAAAAATTTCGCCGGGCGGTGGTGGCGCACGCCTTTAATCCCAGCACTGGGGAGGCAGAGCCAGGTGGATCTTTGTGAGTTCGAGGCCAGCCTGGGCTACCAAGTGAGTTCCAGGAAAAGGCGCAAAGCTACACAGAGAAACCCTGTCTCGAAAAACCAAAAAAAAAAAAAAAAAAAAAAAAAATTTCAAGTGTTTGTTTATTTGTTTGTTTTTCAAGACAGGGTTTCTCTGTGTATCTCTGGCTGTCCTGGAACTCACTCTGTAGACCAGGCTGTCCTCGAACTCAGAGATCTGCCTGCCTCTGCCTTCCAAGTGCTGGGATTAAAGGCGTGCAGCCACCACTGCCTGGCTTTTTTTTTTTTCAAGTGTTTATACCCAAGTGTGGTGACTCATAATCCCAGCACTCAGGACCCCACCTCCCCCCAACAACAAGAAAAACGTCTTATTTTGGAAAAGTTGAAACAGCAGGTAGAGAAAGCAGCATTGGGAGTCACCAGCTGTGTGCCTGTCCTCCAGACTGTTCACGAGCTAGTCTGACTGCATGTTATTTTGTCTGCAGTGGTTCACGATGTATTATCAGCAACAGCTTGCCATAGCTTTAAAAGGGCCTGAGATAATCACTTTCCAAAGAGAAGGTTTGTCTTGGCTTTGGAGTATGTGATAGGGGAATGAAAGAGGAAGGGACTGAAGACTTAGTGTCCCCTTTGAGGGCATGTTCCCAGTGGCCTAGAGAATTTGCATTTGGATTACATCACATGGACACCTGTGCTAGGGACTAAGCCTTCAGTGTGTAGATCTTGGGGGACACTTTCAAGCTGGAGCATATTTAATGCTATTTACTCTGTCCCTCTCTGACTTGCCCACATTCCCGCTGTGGAGTGAGAAGGTATCCTTCACTCACATTTGCTGGAGTCAGGGTCATCAGCATCTTTTTCCAGGCCCTTTCTCAGCTGCCTACTCTATTTGCTCCCCACATCCTGGGTGTTGGCACTGTGTTCCTCTGTTGGATGATCACATCTGGATGTTGGGCATGCTGTAGTAGCATATCAGGGTCTCCCTTAAGGGACTCTGGCTGTGCTCTGGGCCCACGTGAGGACAGTATAGTCTAGTTCTGAGAAAGTCCTGCACTGCCATTTCAATCTCTACAAAGACCCTTTGTTCTAATCAGGAGTTGCAAAGTGGTGATGCTCCCTTTCCTCATCTTTCTCTGTTCTCTGGAGACTGTAGAGGAAGAAGAAAGTCCTAAAGTCTGACTTTGTAAGGGCGCCTACTGGATCTCAGTCAGTGTTAAACACAGCTTTCAGAGAGGGTCTGAGGAGCCAGGAGTACATCAGTGTCCTCCTAAGTGCTGCTGCTGCTGTCTTGAGCACTTCATGTGTCCCCTCCTCCTTCCCTGCCCTGTCCTGGTGTTGGCATCCCCATCTAATGTTCCTGTTTTCTCTAAGGTACACTACGAGGTCTGCCCCAAGTTCCCCTTAACCTGTGAAGGCTGTGGCAAGAAGAAGATCTCTCGGGAAAAGGTAGAGCGATTCCTCCCACCTTCTGAAGACCATGGTGCTAGACCTGATGGGCAATGGGGAAGGGCTGTCATTTGAGATAGTTTATGACCTACTGCTCAGAGGGAGAATAGCAGCAAAGTGAGGTTTACTTGCTGTTACCAGGACGGGCATGTTCTTGGGCATGGTGGCTTATCCTCCAATATTCATTTGGATTTTTTTGTTGTTGTTCATTTGTTTTGAGGCAGGATCTCATTATATAGTTCTGGGTGCCTAGAATTTGCTATATAGACAAGGCTGGCCTTAAAGTCATGGGTTTGCCTTGAAGGCACCTTTCACTTTGTCTGGCATTCCCCTATCCCTACCCCCCACTCCTACCAGGGATTCATGTAGCCCAGGCTGGCCTGGAACTTAATGTATAGTTGAGGATAACCTTGAACTCCTGATCCTCCTGCCTCCAACTCCCAAGTGCTAGGATTGTAGGTGTGCACACACAATCATGGGTTATGTTGTTAGAGTTGAGCAAGTTCCTTTTGGGGAGTGGGGGCGTGTAGCGTTGGGGCTGGAATTCAGGGCTTCATGCTTACCAAGCAGGCTTTCTGCCACTGAGCTGGGCTTCCTTCTTGTTGACAAAAAATACACCTCTCACCACCAGGAAATAAGAAGTGGTTTGTTTTTGAGCTAAATACAAATGACCATGGAAATAGATTTAGTTACCCCAAATAATATAATAAGGTTTTTGGCATGTAGCCCTGACTGTTTTGGAACTCACTCTGTAGACCAGCCTGGCCTAGAACTCACAGAGATCTTCCTGCCTTTGCCTCCCAAGTGCTGGGATTAAAGACTGTGCCACCATGCCTGGCTTGTTGTTATTTTTAAATGATTTCATGTGTGTTAGTGTTTTACCTGCATGTATGTCTGTGTGAGGGCTTCAGGTCCCCCGAAACTGGAATTGTGAGTCACCATGTGGGTGCTGGGAATCGAACCCAGCTCCTGTGGAAAATAAACCAGTGCTCTCAACCGCTGAGCCATCTCCCCAACCTCCCCTGGTCTCTTTTTTTAAGTTGCGTTTTTCACAGGGCAAGTCTGACCACACTTGCTGCCTGGAATGGTAGTAGAAGAAAAATGGCTCCTTACCCTCACACTGGGTCTCAAAGAGGTGGTCTTTCTCCTGCCCTTACCAGACACATTTGTGTTCAATTGAGTGTGTGCTTAGGTTTCGTGTGTTCATCAATAGTTCTTTTATTCTATCCGGTCCCTGCATTAACACAAGGGGCTGCCCTGTTCTTACGCGCTGTGCTCGTGAATCTGAATATTCTGCCTGAGGCCCAGGGGTTTCAATGTTGTATACTCTCAAGACTGACAGAAATAACAGCTGGGTTGCTTTCTGTGTGGCATGGACCTCCCCAAAACCATGAATTAGACTTTTCCACAGCAATTCTGAAATGTCTCCTTTCCATAGTGATTGACAGTGGCTTGTCTAATCTTAATTTTGCACGACAGTGAGAAGGCCAATAGGATGCATCTAGGGGTTTTCTTTTGTTAAATCTGACATGATCGGTACGTTAAGAAAATGGAGCGGGTTGGGATAGGAGACCCTCAGTAATGACAATGACCCTGCTAACTTTATCCTCTTGACCGTCCAGTTTCAGGACCATGTTAGATCATGCACCAAGTGTCGGGTTCCCTGCAGATTCCACACCATCGGCTGTCCTGAGATGGTAAGCCAAGGGTCTGCTGTTAGGGACTAGGGGCCTGAGTGAGTCTGTCCCTTTTCCACAAGGGTCTCCAGCTATGGTCCTCCTAGGTTCTTCAGCCTCTCTGGTGTCTTCCCTGGCTGTCTCTCTCAGCATCCCTTCTTCCTGCCCTCAGGTGCCCAGGCTTCCCCTCTTGAAATCTCTAGGTGACTTGGATTACTACCTACATATAATATGCTTCTGACACCTCAGGCCTCCCAGGGATACCTAGTGGACACCTTAGACCCACACCTTGGCCTTCTCTCCTTGTTCTCCACCCTCTTCCCATATCTCCCAGGAAAGAAAAGCACATTGATTGTTACGTTGTCTCGCTTAAAGCCTCAGTGCCCAGTGGTCTGCTGGATCCTCTTCTTGGCTCATACTGCACATGTATGCTAACGAATCCTTGACTGTTGGCAGATGGATCTTGTCCCTCCACTGCTGGCTTGTCACTTCGTCATCTCCTGCCTGTACCCAGCCTTCCTGTGTTGGCTGGGTACCTCCTGCCCACTCTGCTCCTCTGATCTGTTAAAGGAGAAAACAAGATATGGCTTGACCTGGCCCTCCTGTGGCCTCCCCAAGTTCTGATTCACAGTTGTTATGGTCCCTCTCCCAAGACCTGCCCTCTGCCCTGGTCACTGGCCTGGGCAGTTGACTTTTCCCCACCCCAACCCTTTGCCTTGCTATATTTCCGGGGATTCCCTCAGACCTCCACAGGTCCCTGTTCACATGTCCCCCTTCTCAATTTGTGCAGACCCCTCATTTTCATCCTGTACAAGCTGTTTCTCTGTTTATTGTCGTGGTCGTCCACCCCCCCCAACCCCCCCACCCCCCTACAGTGGGATCTCCTTGACATCATTTCCCTTCGTGACTACTGACCACAGGCTGCTCCACATTGGGCCTATAGGCTATGTGCATTAGGGTAAGAAGAGGCAAGCTGAGGATGTGGTGTCTGGTAACAGAGCAGCTCTCTCCTCTTCTGGTGGGGGTCGGAGGGTTGCTGCCTCCCTTTCAAAGCCGCTGAGTCCCTGCAGAAGGAAGTTGAGAGCTACCAGGAAGCTGAGCCACTGTCACCTTGGCCTAGGCCTTTTCAGGTCATAGCGTGCTCCAGCTAAGCTCTAGCATTGTGGTGACCTTGCTGGCCCCTGCTGGGGAAGCCACTGAGCAGATAGCATGTCCTTTTTGTGTTCATCTTAGTTCCACCTGCCGCCTGCCCTGTGAGGTGCAGATACTTCTGCTGTGCCTCCGTCATCCAGGTGCCTGTGCCTCCAACTGGGGACACAGATGTCTTGGTTTCTTTTTATGTTTTGAGTGTATCTTTATAAAATTAGTTTATTTTTTTATTACACTTATTTTGTGTGTGTGAGTCATGACATCTATGTGAAACCAGTGGACAGCTTTCAGAGTTGGTTCTGTCCTTCTGACATAGGGGCCCCAGGTATTCAATTCAGGTTATCAGGTTTGGTGACAGCACATTTACATGCTAAGCCATCTTGCCAGGCCTCATTCTGTTTTAGGTTGGGTTTGGTTTTTGATTTTTGGTGTTGTGTTTTTGTTTTTGAAACAGATTCTTACTGTGTAATCCAGGGTAGTTTTAAATTCAGTATGTAGACCAGGCTTGCCTTGCACTCATAGAAATCCATCTGTCTCTGCTTTTTGAATACTGGCATTAAAAGCATTTGTAACATAAATTGCTAAATGGTTTTTTAATTAAAAAAACAACAACAAAAAACCCAGAGCCAACCAAAAAAAAAAAAAAAAAAAAAGCTGGGCAGTGGTGGTGCACGCCTTTAATCCCAGCACTCGGAGACAGAGGCATGTGGATCTCTGTGAGTTTGAGGTCAGCCTAGCTAGAGTGAGTTCCAGGAAGGCTCCAAAGCTACGCAGGGAAACTCTGTCCCAAACAAAACAAACAAACAAACCCAGAGCCAGATATTGGAGTAAATGCTGAAAGATCAGAGAGACAAAGGAACAAGCCACTGCCATGCCTCACCTCGACAACTCCACAGATCCTCTGACTGAACGCCTCTGTGTCCTCAGTCGAAAGCTCTCCAGCCAAAAAGGCTCTACTTCCTGTCTCCTCACGCCTTATATACCTTTCTCCACCCAGCCATCACTTCCTTCCTAGTGCTGGGATTAATGGCGTTTGTGCTTCCCAAATACTGGGATTAAAGGCATGTGATTCCCAAGTATTGGAATTAAAGGTGTGTGCCACCACTGCCTGGCTCTGTTTCTCTCCTAGACTGAACAATCTCATGTAGTCCAGGGTGGCTTTGAACTCACTAAGATCCAGACAGATCTCTGCCTCCTGAGTGCTAGGATTAAAGGTGTGTGCCACCACTGCCTGACCTCTGTGTTTAATCTAGTAGCTTGTTCTGTTTTCTGATCTTCAGGCGAATTTTATTAGGGTACACAATATAGCACCACAAGCATTTGCCACTGTGCCTTTTTATTTTTCTTAATTAGCATGCAGTGTAATGAAATTATAATTTTGAAGTATATTTAACTTCTTAAAATTTTTTACACAAGCCGGGTGGTGGCCCGCACACGCCTTTAATCCCAGCACTCAGAAGGCAGAGGCAGGTGGATCTCTGTGAGTTTGAGGCTAGCTTGATCTACAGAGTGAGTTCCAGGAAAGGCGTAAAGCTACACAGAGAAACCCTGTCTCAAAAAAACAAAAAAAAAAAAAAATTTTTTTTATACAAGTTCGAAAATATTTAGTTGTGTCTTAATTACTTTTCTATAATTGCTGTGTAAAGACACCATGACCAGGGCAACTTATAGAAGAAAGAATTTATTTGTGACTCAGCAGTTTCAGAGGGGTCCATGATCATCATGGTGGGCATCATGGCGGCAGGTAGGCAGGCAGGCGTGGTGCTGGAGCGGTAGCTGAGAGCTTCCATCTTGAGATAACAACCACACATCTCTCAGTACAGTGTGGCCCATGGTGCTGCACTACCCGGGCCGATTCTTTACAAACCCCGTCCTGTACCACAGGTGGAGACTGAGGAGCTTCAGGAGCATGAGGTGCAGAGGCTACGGGAACACCTGGCCCTGTTGCTGAGCTCGTTCCTGGAGTCCCCAGCCTCACAGGCAAGCCAGAACCAGGCGGGGCCGGAGCTGCTGCAGCGCTGCCACACTTTGGAGCAGAAGACAGCCACCTTCGAGAACATTGTCTGCGTCCTGAACCGGGAAGTAGAGCGGGTGGCAGTGACTGCAGAGGCTTGTAGCCGGCAGCATCGGCTAGACCAGGACAAGATTGAGGCCCTGAGTAACAAGGTTTGTGCCTAGCGGGCATAGTGAGTCCTGGATCTTTGGGGCCTGGACAGCATAGAATAGAACTCCATGACTTGGGCTTTGGCCTCTTGCTTTCTGATTCTCATGCTCTGGGAGGCTCAGCCGTGGGGTTTGATGGGCTAGCAACTGAAACTTTTCTTGGCCTAGGAGGGTAGGCATCAGTCATGCAATATGCTGGGGACATGTAGGCCCAGAGCCTTCCAAGTGGACCGCACATTTAGGCGGTAGCTCCTGGGCACAGACAAGACTTGAGAGACTTCTAAAGGCTAGCAGTGTGGGAAACGGGAGCTCAGGGTGCACAGAATACGGCAGTCAGGTCCCTGCCGCCGTCCTATCAAAGTGAAGTGGTCTCTGCTCTGCAGGTGCAGCAACTGGAGAGGAGCATTGGCCTCAAGGACCTTGCCATGGCCGACCTGGAGCAGAAGGTCTCAGAGTTGGAAGCATCCACCTATGATGGAGTCTTCATCTGGAAGATCTCAGACTTTGCCAGGAAGCGTCAGGAAGCTGTAGCGGGCCGTACACCTGCTATCTTCTCCCCAGGTGCCATTTGGGGTCTTCCCGTCTGCTTCAGAGGCCTTCTGGAATGGTTCTCTGACTGGGGCAGGGCACATATTCAGCCGGCACCAGGAGTGTCTGCATCTCCTTGAGAAGCAAATTGGCCGGGCGGTGGTGGTGCACGCCTTTAATCCCAGCACTCGGGAGGCAGAGCCAGGTGGATCTCTGTGAGTTCGAGGCCAGCCTGGGCTACAGAGTGAGTTCCAGGACAGACTCCAAAGCTACACAGAGAAACCCTGTCTTGAAAAACAAAACAAAATAAAAAAAAAGAGAGAAGCAAATTGGGCAATGTGCCCTACTCAGTTGGGAGTCTATAGGCATGAGGAGTTAGATGTGGATAAGTATGCCTGTCTGTCCCTTGTCGCCTGCACATGAGCATGGTGGCTTTGGGGTGAGTAATGAAAGGCAGACCTTTCCAAGCAGGGCCATGGCTTCAAGCTTGTCCAACTTCCAACTGGGTTGAGCTTTGGTATTTGCTGCAAGCAGGGAGCCTGTGAGGATGTTCCTCAGTCTGCTTTCTCCTCCTCTCCATCTACAAGGTCTGTAGAGGGGCGCTCTTGAGCTCCTCTGAAGGGTACCGCTGGGAGCTATAGGGGAGGCTTTGTGTTCCTGCCAGGTCCAGTTTGCTTCCCTTGTACTGCCTGCCTGCTCTGCACTTCTCACCGTGCCACTGTTCCTACTTTCTGTACACTTCAGTCCCCTGTTGTGTCCCTCTAGGTGCCCCCAGACCATGTGATGGCCCAGGCCTTTGTCTGTACCCTTGTTAGTGTTGTCTTCCTGCTCAGCAGCTTACTTGATAATGTACTCATCAGCTGTCCGAACTTGACCTGCACACACTTTATTTTTGGGCTCACTTCACAGAACTGCCACTACAGTAGAGGTTCTCGGGTCAAGGCTGAGACCCTGGGAGACCCTCTCCTTCCTGGATTTGCCTTGGCACTGGTGGTCCCTGCCTTGCTATAGAAGACTGAGCACTCCCCTCAGCTCTGTAGCATATCCTCACAGGGGCATCAGCTAAGGCTAGAAGTAGACAAACCTAGAGCCCTTCTTCTCGGATTGAGACTAGGAAAACAAGTGTTTTAGTGAGACGTCAAGGGACACGTGGGCAGCCTGGGGTGCCTGGTACTATTTGTAGACTTGGGTAGTCTGTGGGCAGTGCCTCCCCTTGCAGGTGATTTATTTAGTAGGTGGTAAGCGGTGGAGTGTGCAGGCTCAGGCTACAGGCGTTCTACAGTTAGTGTGGTCAGGGTCCAGCATGAGGGCCCGTACCCTTTGCAGCAGTCTCCTGGGGCTGTAGGCAGGGAAACCTGTCTGTGTGAAAGGTCTGCTTCGGGTGTGGCTGGTCGTCCAGGTTCATGCAGCAGGCAAAGGCTACAAGGAACAGGGAAGGTAGTTTTTAGCGCTGCACTTGGAGCCCTGCTGCAGAGACTTAGCTTAGATCTGCCGGGCATGGGTAGTCCTGTTGCTGGGAGGGTCGCTATAGCAGGCAGCCTTTTGGGGGAACACCAACTGAATGCTGTTGTTCAGCTCTCCCTTAAGAGGACACACTTCTTTTGACTCACAGCAGCACATCATGGCAAGCAGACTGTGGTACAGAGCTTTTCATTTCCCACTGGGAATCAGAAGAAAGAGGGATGAGTGGAGATCCCACTGTCCTCTTCAAGGGCATACCCTCAGTGACTGAAACACCTCCTTTTAGACCCCACCTTAGGAAGGTGCCACCCTCTCAAGACAGTATCAGATGTTTAACAAATGGCAATGGTGTGGGACATTGCAGACCCATACTACAGCATGTGCAATTATAGATTCCTAAAGGTGGTTAAGGATTGGTATATATGATTACTGAGGCTAAGTTCCACAGTAGGCCAACTTTATGTGGAAACTCTAGTTGCTGGTATAAACCCTGAGGTCCAGATACTGAAAAGCTTGATGTCTAACTCCATAGACAGGTCCTACCCCCAGGGCGGGGAGACCAGTCTGGTTTTCCTCTGTTGTTTTTGTTCAGAGTCTCAGTTGATTGGGTCCACCTATACCAAGAGCATCTTTCCCATGTGGTCCACCACTCATCTACCAGTCTCTTAGAAACAGCCCTCACAGATGCTCAGAGATAGTGCTTCCCCAGCCCTCTAGGTATTCCTTGACCCAGTCAACTTGACACTAAAATTAGTCTTCACAACTATTTACATGTTTTGTTTGCACTTAATAGTATATTGTGTGCCTTTTGTTATTTTTTGAGGCAGGGTTTCATACTATAGCCATGGCCAAGGCGACCTCAGATTTATTGTGTAACCCAAGCTGAACTTGAACTCATTGAGAAGCTTGTTACCAGGTCCAGTTTTTGTCTTACACGGCCTTAACCATGTTCTGGCTGTGGTATTACCTGTAGGGCAGTGATTCTCAATCTTTCCAATGCTGTGACCCTTTAATACAATTTCTCATGTTGTGGTGACCCCAAGTGTAAAATTGTTTTCACTGCCACTTCATAACTGTCATTTGGCTAATGCTATGAATAGTGATGGGAATATCTGACGTGCAGGATATCTGATCTACTACCCCAAAGGGGTCGCACCCCACAGATTGAGAACCACTACTGTAGGGCTGAGGGACGTTGCCTACTAATTTGAGTTTCTGCTCCTCAGATGCTTCTGCTGAGGCAGGCTTGGGGTTCCTATGGCCTGGTCTCCCTGTATAGCTCTGCTGAGGACCTCAGCTACTGGTTTTTTGTTTTTCTACCATAGTTTTTAATATTTTAAAATACTTAAAGTTTGAGGTTATTAAAATTATCATTGTTAATTCTAACTTTAAAGGGGGGATGCAGCAAGATAGCTCATTGGATTTGTGAGACTGCTGTCTGGAATCCACATTAAAAGTAGTAGGAGAAGCCGGGTGTTGGTGGCACATGCCTTTAATTTTTTTATGTAGAGGCAGGCAGATTTCTGTGAGTTCAAGGCCAGCCTGGCAGAGATAGTTCCACGACAGCCAGGGCTACACAGAGAAACTGTCCCCAAAAAACAACAAACAAACAACAAATTAAAAAAAAGTGGTAGGAGAAAGCCAGGTGTGGTGACACGCACCTTTTATCCCAACTCTTTTTTTTTTTTTTTTTGTGGGGGAGGGGGAGGTTTTGAGACAGGGTTTCTCTGAAGTTTTGCACCTTTCCTGGAACTCACTCTGTAGCCCAGGCTGGCCTCGAACTCACAGAGATCCTCCTGCCTCTGCCTCCCGAGTTCTGGGATTAAAGGCGTGCACCACCACCTCCCAGCTTATCCCAACTCTTGAGAGGCAGAAGCAGGTGGATCTCTCTTGAGTTTGAGGCCAGCCTGGTCTATATAGTGAGTCCCAGGACTACCTAGAAAGACCCTGTCTCAAAAAACTATAAGAAGGGGCTGGAGAGATGGCTCAGAGGTTAAGAATACTGGCTGTTCTTCCAGAGGTCCTGAGTTCAATTCCCAGCAACCACATGGTGGCTCACAACCATTTGTAACGAGATTTGGTGCCCTCTCCTGGCATGCAGGCGTACATGGAGGCAGAATGTTGTACACATAATAAATAAATAAATCTCTTTTTTTAAAAAAAAAAAAAAAACTGTAAGAAAAATGACTCCACAGAGTTGTCCTTTGGCTTCCACATACATGCCATAGCATGCATGTCCCTCCCTGGAATATTGCATATGAGCACACACATTAATAACTTTTTTGAAGAGAGTAAGGTGGGAGGATTTGGAGTTGGGGGCTATCCTGAGCTGCATGGCAAGTTTGTCTGGAGGTCTGGGGGTTTCTTTTGAGAGGAAAACCTTCCCCTGATATTTCCCAGTAGCTGAATGATTGTTTATGTTTTCATCTCTGAGGGTGGGCTGCGGGTGGACGAGCTGTGTCCTGCCCTGTTCTCACTGGCCCTTTTCCACACTTCCAGCCTTCTACACAAGCAGATACGGCTACAAGATGTGTCTGCGAGTCTACTTGAATGGCGATGGCACTGGGCGGGGAACTCATCTGTCTCTTTTCTTCGTGGTGATGAAAGGCCCCAATGATGCCCTCTTGCGGTGGCCTTTTAATCAGAAGGTATGAGGGCAGCCCCAGGATCCTAGGGGGAATCTGTGAGTGAGGTTGGGTTCTGCTTCCGAGTAGCCAGGTTGTCCAAGACAGTGTACATAACCAGGCATATTGGCTGTGGTGCCCCAGTGATTTCTCACTGCTGGTTGTGACACATATGACTGCTTCTTGACTCACACATGTTTGAAAGTCTCCTGGGGAAGTAAGTGTGCTTCAAGGGAAGGCCACAGCCACAGAGCCCCTCTGTGACTGTCAGAGTTAGGGTGTGACTGTTTAAAACCAGGGTCTTCCTTAATGAAGGAACTGACCCTCCAGAAACCAGGTCGGACTGAGGATGGTCCCTTCATCACTCAGGGCCCAGCTTTCTCCCCAGAAGCCAGTGGAGGAGGCAGAGCAGGTGATGAGGAATAGGAGGCCAGAGACTCTGACCAGTCCAGGGCCAACAGTCAAACCCTGTTCTTGTTGTAAAGTGCTTCCAGATCACAGCAAGAAAACATCTGTTGCAGAACACTAGAAAGAAACAGCACTCAGGAGTACAGTGTGTAGTACTAAGTTTTAGCCTCAGTTTCCAGACACTATGAGCATGCAATACAACCTTGGACATGTGTTGTTCCCAGATGAGGAGCTGAATACACTGTGGCCAGTGTATCTAGGCACACTGCTGTGGGAGAGGTAGGATGGGACTAATGTGGGGTTTTCAGGTGACTCACGGGCACATTGTTCCCTTCCTGGATTGACTTCTCTCAGGTAACATTGATGTTGCTGGACCAGAACAACCGGGAGCATGTAATCGACGCATTCAGGCCTGATGTGACCTCATCCTCCTTCCAGAGGCCTGTCAGTGACATGAATATTGCCAGTGGCTGCCCCCTCTTCTGCCCTGTGTCCAAGATGGAGGCCAAGAATTCCTATGTGCGGGATGATGCTATCTTCATCAAAGCTATTGTGGACCTAACAGGACTCTAGCCACCTGTACTAGGAATAGCAGCTCAGTGAGGAGCTGCCACACTGGGCCAGGGCCCTGCCACACAAGGGTGGGCAGGCTTGGTGCAAGCGCTGGGAAGGGCCTCAGCCTAAAGCCAGTCACCATTACACGGAAAGGCAGGAAGGAGCCTCCAGTTGGTCCTCAACTGGTAGACTGAGTGGGGGGTCCATTCAGCTCAGGGTCCTTGTGGGACCAGCTGGGGTCTTCTCAGCTTTCCAGTAGAAAAGCTCTTGCTGTCTTTTCTGTCTGGGGAAGGGAGAGGCCCTTGGGTGGGGTACTCAGAAAGAGCCTGGAGAGAGAGAGAGTTTCAGAGCTACACCAGCAGCAAGAGTGTGGTGGTTGAACTTACCCACTCTGGCTTGTGGCAAGGAGGTAGGGGCTGCACATGAGAAGGGCATCCACCTGCAGAGCCCAGCCCAGGAGAGAAGTACTCTGAGACATAGGCACACACTGGAAAAGGGCCTGCCTGGGCTGCACAGCCCTGCCAGGTGGCCTGTATTGAGGAGAAGTGATTAAACTGTTCAGATGTCTATGACAAGTGGTGTTCATCTGGCTCCAGGATGCCTGCTGTGTCTAGCCTAGATAGAAATGGCCCTCTGGGGCCTCTGCTTTCCTCTTCACATTGACTGTCTGTTCCTTATACCCTTCAAGCCCAGGGCTCCATGTGAGCACTCCATCATGGGTCTGCCTGTGTAGAAGTGAAGGACTGACCCTTGCCTGGCTCATGTTCAAGGTTGTTTCCTCAGGGTTCTGGCCTGGTTCACTCTTTGGACTGAGGTTGGAATGGAGGCACCATGGTCTAGGCACTGGGCATGTCTATTAGTCAGAAGGCATATCCAATCTCCCTCGGTCCATTTTCAAGTCACCACAGTAGGAAATGGGGAGAGCACCAGGGTGACGCATCCATGCCCATCTCGGTGAGCCTGCTGTGATTGAGGAAACATTGCTGTCTAGACCTGGTCATGTTCCTGCTCTGTCTGAATTTTCACTCTGTATGTGTTGGCTTTTAAAGTATACAGAAACAGCATGGGATGGCATCATGGCGGAGAACTGGCTTCACCTGACTGCCCTGTGGCTTTCTGGTGGAGGACAGACACATCTTGTTTTTTTCTCCTGAGTTTGTGCCTTGAGTTCTTAAGCTGGAACAGGGTCTAGGCCTGCCTGTCACCTGTGGCCCCAGGAGAGCTGGTGTTACATGGTTGTCCCTTAGGTATTTGTACTTGCTCTGCAGAGAACTACATCAAGGGCCTTACAGCCTGTGGGCATCGGCCTCTTCCTGCAGCATTTCATGTGGGCTGTGTGTGACCTGTGTGCCTTGTAGTAACTTACTTATACTTCTCTGAGGACTGGACTTTTACCAGATTTATTGCTCTGGAATTTCTCCATAGGAACTGCCCATTTCTGTCCATTTTTCTACTTACTTTCTTCCTGCTTGGTAAAAGTTTCTGGTCTTTCTAACATTGATCCTTGATTGTGTTTGAACTTTTTTTCTTTCCAGACAAGATTTTTCTGTATAACTACTCTGGCTGTTCTGGAACTCGATTGATAAACCAGACAGGCCTTGAACTCACAGTAATCCACCTGCCCTTGCCTCCCGATATTTGAACCTTTTTGATATAGAAAAATTCAAAGCTGAGATATGATCAGTTAAATAATGTTTTAAAGTTCTAACAGTTTCTATGTTTGGCAGCTCATTTATATATAATGTATACTTTTTTTTCTTTTCTCTAGAAATGTGTCTGTTTTAAAACTAGAATTAGGTAATTCAGGTTGAAGCTTTTGTCTTTTGGTTTTTTTGGAGACTGGGTCTTTCTGAGTGGTCCCGACTATTCTGGAACTCACCGTGTAGACCAGACTAGCCTTGAACTCACAGAGATCTGCCTGCTTCTGCCTTCTAAGTAGGATTAAAGGTTTCTACCACCATGCCCAGCTGGTAATTTTTTTTTCAGGCAGAGTTTCGAGGCTCAGCCAGCCTCTAATTCTCTTAATTAGCTAAGGATAACTTTGAACTTGTGATCTTCCTGCCTCTGCTTCCCAGGTACTGTCATACAAGTGTATGTCACTGTCCTTGACTTATGTGGTACTGGGAATGAACTCCAGGCCTCCTGCAAGCTCTCTACCAATCTCCACTCCAAACTGGTAGATTGTTACGTTGGAGTTACTTTTTTTCCTTAAACGCAAATGGAGGGGCTGAGGGTGTAGTACAGTGGTAGAACACACTTGTCATGCACAGGCCCTGGGTTCCATCCCTAATGTGTGTGCATCTAACACACACAGGAGATGGAACTGTGGAATGGGAAGAATAGAAAGGTATCCCCAGAGGGCTGGGCATGGTGGCATGCACCCTCAGCCCAGCACTCAAGAGGCAGAGGCAGGTTGGATCTCCGAGTTCAAGGCCAGCTTGGTCTACACAGTGAGTTCCTGACTCAAGAAACCAAAACAAAACAAAAAGTGCAGTATGTGTAGGGACAAAGTCAGAGGAGTCACGACAGGCAGAGTCTGAGCCTGTCTGAAGTGGGGGAATGCTGACAGAATCTGGGTGAGGGTGGTCAGCTCTCTACCTGTTGAGTCCCTGGGGGTGGCGAGAAGCTTGCTGCTGACCTCTGTCCTTGCTTGTTGCCTAATGAGGCAGATGTTGACTTATCCCCTTCCTTAACTCCATGAGGAAATTGGGCTACAGGGAAGAAGAGGGGTCTGTCACCCCGCTCTCTGGAGACAGCTCATGAGCAGGTGTGGCTTTGCTGCGCATTGCCTCCCAGTGGGGTGACTGCTGCAGTACACCTCACAAGTCCCCAGAGTTTACAGAACCACTGTCGCTGCCCTGTGACTACACCACTTCCTCCTGTCAGCACATGCACACATTATTCAGGATAGTAATATTAAAAGAAGCATAATGCCTTTTAGCAGGATGGTTTCACAGTCTACCCATGTTACAGTATGTGTTAGAATTTTAGAATTTTTTTGTGTGTGTAGTGTGCATGTGTACACTTAATGTGTGGACACCCATGTGAAGTTCTGAAGTTGGTGTGGGGAGTCTTCAATCACTTTCTACTCTACATTTTGAGACAGGGCTCCAAGAATCCCATCCCTGCTTCCTGAGTGCTGGGAATACAGGCCGAGCACCATGTTTGTCTGGTGTGTACATGGGTGCTGGAGATCAAACTCAGCTCTCCATGCTTGTGCAGCGAGGGCTTTACCCACAGAGCCTTCTCCTCAGCCTCTGCTAGAAAATTGGATATCTGAGCCGAGCAGTGGTGGCACACATCTTTAATCCCAGCACTCAGAAGGCGTAGGCCAGCCTGGTCTACAGTGAGTTCCAGGACAGCCAGGAATGTTGCACAGAGAAACCCTGTCTCAGTCTACAAGGAACTTTTTTTTTTTTTTTTGACAGGATCACTCCTTGTAGCCCTGGCTGTCCTAGAACTCATATGTTGACCAGGTTAGCTTCAAGCTCTGCCTATCTCTGCCTCCTAATCACCACCACACCCAGCTTTTTTTATTTTTAGCATTAAAAATGTTTTAAAAATACATATATGTTGACTTTTATTTCGAATGTATGTTTGAGTGCCTGCATGTATGTATATGTAGTACTGTGTGCATGCCTGGTGCCCACGGAAGCCAGAAGAGGGTCTCAGATCACCTGTAACTGGAATTACAAGTGATTGTGAACCAGCAAGTGGTTGCTGGGAACTGAACCTGTGTCCTCAAAAGAACAGCACATACTCTTAACTGCCCTGCCATTCTTTTATTCTTTTGTGTATGTGTATGCACATTTGCACACAGGTAGCTGGGGAGGCCAGAAGAGGGTGTCGGATTCCCTGATAGTTGGAGTTACAGGCGGTTATGAACCATCTGGCATGGATGCTGGGAACCAACTTCTGTGTGCTACAAGTGCAACACGTACCCTTAACTGATGAGCCATTTCTCCAGCCTCAGGGAAAAAAAATTATGATCTTTTTGACCCTCCTTCCATGTTACCTATAATTTTAGTTCCATCATATATTTTTGTAACGATAAATTTTAATATTCAAAGCAGGCACTCTAACAACACCCCTGCCGTCTTTTTCTTCCTTTGCTCGCTTGCCCCACCCCTTTATGAGATAGTCTCATTGTATAGCCCTGACTAGCCTGAAACTGTAGATGAGACCAGGCTGACTTCAGACTGCAGAGGTGATCCTGCCTTTGCCTTCTCCTTTTGATGATTTTTCTTTTTGTTTGTTTGTTTGAGACAGGGTTTCTTGTGTAACCCTGGCTGCCCTGGAACTCACTCTGTATGTAGACCGGGCTGGCCTTAAACTCAGAGATCAGCTTGCCTCTGCCTTCCAAGTGATGGGATTAAAATCATGCCCCCCCCCACCTGACTTCTTTTTTTCTTCCTTCTTTAATTACATATGGTTCATCAGTATTTCAGCACTTCAAGCTACAAGTCTTGTCACCTGGATGAAACATCACTACTTGGTCTGTCACTCTTTTTACAGCTAAAATATTCAATAAATTCTTTAAACATCACATAATAAAATCAGATTTTTGCTGGGCGGTGGTGGCGCACACCTTTAATCCCAGTACTCGGGAGGCAGAGGCAGGAGGATCTCTGTGAGTTCGAGGCCAGCCTGGTCTACAAAGTGAGTTCCAGGAAAGGCGCAATACTACAGAGAAACCCTGTCTCGAAAAACCAACAACAACAACAAAAAAATCAGATTTTCTTCTTGGTGAAATTATGAGACTTTTTTTTTTTTTTTTTTTTTTTTTTTGGTTTTTCGAGACAGGGTTTCTCTGTGTAGCTTTGCACCTTTCCTGGGACTCACTTGGTAGCCCAGGCTGGCCTCGAACTCACAGAGATCCGCCTGGCTCTGCCTCCCGAGTGCTGGGATTAAAGGCGTGCGCCACCACCGCCCGGCCAAAGTTATGAGACTTTTAAACCATGGGCAGTTCTGTGTGAGCTCCATGGTAAACATGATATGGATGGGTGTCTCCATCAACGCAGATCCACTCCTGCTCACCCACCACTGCCGGTACCTCAGTCTGTTTTCCTGTGTCTTAGGGTTACTACTGGCTGTGATGATACACCATGACCAAAGCAACCTAGTGTAGACGAATTTCTAAAAATGGTCTTACTAATAAAAAACATGGAGCCAGAAATTTGGGTTAAAGCCTTAGATCAGGGAAATATGGAAAGCCACCAGCTAACCTCACATCAACTCCGCAGCTTCCAAGGAGAACAATTTCCTGTCTACCCAGGTTTATAGGACTTGCTTTTCTGCCCTCTCATTGGCTCTTAGTCCAGCTACCTCACTTCCTCTCCCCCCCCCCCCAGCAGAGGACTGAACCCAGGGTCTTGTGCTTGCTAGGCAAGCGCTCTACCACTGAACTAAATCCCCAACCTCCTCACTTCCTCTTTCTACACAACTCTGTCACTGTCTTTCTGTACAGACCTCCAGGTCTCTATGGTTAGTACTGGGATTAAAGGCATGTAAGTATAATAACTATATACAATATATACAAGCAATAAATACATCAACAATGTCTGGTCCATTTGCATTGTACAAATTCCATTATCCTATTTTGGTGAGTCCAAAATGTATCTAATTCACTTTCTATCCTAACTTACATTACCAACAGAAAACTATCTTATGATGTCTTTCAAACTTATACACTTAACGCCTCTTAGTGAGTTTCTTTTCTGAATTTCTTTTCTTTCTTTTTTTTTTTTTTTTGGTTTTTCGAGACAGGGTTTCTCTGTGTAGCTTTACGCCTTTCCTGGATCTCGCTCTGTAGACCAGGCTGGCCTCTGCCTCTCGAGTGCTGGGATTAAAGGTGTGCGCCACCACCTCCCAGCTCTTTTCTGAATTTCTTAACAAGGAAAACTGTAACTAATCTTTAACTCCCTCAGAGACCTGAGAAGGAAATAATACTACCTAGTAAAACATGAAGTGCAAACAAGTGACTTCTAAAAAATGAGTTATGACAGAAACAGCCAGCTGCCTGGACAGTCACCCGAGGTTTCTCTGCATGTTGGGGCATCATCTTCAGCCTACAGGCTTAGCATATCTGACAGACTCGTTTGTGAAGCAGGATGTACACAAGGCCTACAGCTCGACCCCACATTCGGTGCGAGTATTCCATGTACCAGATAAACTTGAATTCTGCTAGTGTCCTGTCATGATTCAGGATTTTAAATTCTGGAAATTGCTGGGGTTTTTGGAATTTGGCTTCCCATTCTTCTCGACTTGTGGGTGGCTTCATCTCAGCGTCCCATTCTTCTTGGCTTGTGTGTGACTTCGTCTCTTTTATTAAATGCCAGTCTCTCACTGAGAGGTTAGACTCTGTTAACCTAGTTACTCTTTCAAGAATAACTGTTTCAGCTACTGTTCCACTGCACACCAGAAGCCATCGGTCCCCTGCCTGTTCAGCTGCCTTCGAAGGAAGGGGCACTGTACCTTTTCTAGATTGCAAAGCCACTTCAGGTGCTATATTGTCCTGGCCGTATGGCCTGGGATTAAATATGGTGCCATATTGTCCTGGGATTAAAGGCATGCACCACCACCACCGCTGGCTCACTCCAGCTTCTATGTGTGTGACTTGTGAGGTTGAGTCCTTATGCTTTCATTGTAAGCATGTTACCAATCAACCATCTCCCTGATCCTCTCAGAATTCTTTGCTAGCATCAAATCATGACAGCCTTTTGTGATTTCTAGACATTCTGGTGTTTCCCACGTAACAGTCAGGTGTGTTGTTTCTTAACCATCTTTTCTGCACAAGATACAGGGTTTGTGTTAATCCTTGCATGTGGTGGTGGCTTGCTCAGTGCTGTGTTGAGATGGTGCCTGTGCCTCAGCTGTGTGTAAAATGCAGCTTCTCTAGCCCTGGCTTGGCTTTGGCCCTTTTGGAGAAAGATCAGCCTTTCCCCAGGGAACTCATGTTGCTGTTGTGCATTTACTTGTGACGTCCATGGGATCTGTGTGCTTTCTCAACGCTACTGCTCTGGTCATCGTGGTTATAGCAGTATTAACTCAATGGTGCAGTTTGTTCTCTCCAGCTTTATTCCCAGTTTTCAAAACTGAACTATTTTTATTCTTAGGGCAATACATACAAATCTTAGAATTAGCTTCCCTGTAGTTAAAAAATCTGCTGGAGCCGGGCGGTGGTGGCGCACGCCTTTAATCCCAGCACTCGGGAGGCAGAGCCAGGCGGATCTCTGTGAGTTCGAGGCCAGCCTGGGCTACCAAGTGAGTTCCAGGAAAGGCGCAAAGCTACACAGAGAAACCCTGTCTCGAAAAACAAAAAACAAAAAACAAACAAAAAAAAAATCTGCTGGGATTTGATTGGCTGTGTCGAGTCCAGTGATGTGTGGAGTTGACACCGCTGTGCAGTGCTAAGTCCCTGCTCTCTCTCAGCTTGTGCCCCAGGTGCTCACTTGCGGGTTCTCCTTCTTAGGATGTGTTTACTTACGGACCGGGGACATTTATGTAAATGAATAGGTCACCTGTGGGAAGAAACAACTTCGTCTCTTCTTCCATTGTGTCACTTTTCTTTCCTTCGCTCACCCTGTCCCGCCTGCTCAGGCTGCAGCATGAGACTGAGGGGCCTGGTCAGAGTGGGTGTCCTTGCTGTGTGTGCTCCAGCCTTCACTGGTGCTGTGATGTCCTGGAGGGGTGCTCTGATGTCCTGGAGGGGTGCTGTGATGTCCTGGAGGGGTGCTCTGATGGCCCTGGAGGGGTGCTGTGATGTCCTGGAGGGGTGCTGTGATGGCCTGGAGGGTTCTGTGATGTCCTGAAGGGTTCTGTGATGTCACTGGAGGGGTGCTGTGATGTCCTGGAGGGGTGCTGTGATGTCCTGGAGGGGTGCTGTGATGTCCTGGAGGGGTGCTGTGATGTCCTGGAGGGGTGCTGTGATGTCCTGGAGGGTTCTGTGATGTCACTGGAGGGGTGCTGTGATGTCCCTGGAGGATGCTGTGATGTCCTGGAGGGGTGCTGTGATGTCCTGGAGGGGTGCTATGATGTCCTGGAGGGGTGCTGTGATGTCCCTGGAGGATGCTGTGATGTCCTGGAGGATGCTGTGATGTCCTGGAGGATGCTGTGATGTCCTGGAGGGGTGCTGTGATGTCCTGGAGGGGTGCTGTGATGTCCTGGAGGGGTGCTGTGATGTCCTGGAGGGGTGCTGTGATGTCCTGGAGGGGTGCTGTGATGTCCTGGAGGATGCTGTGATGTCCTGGAGGATGCTGTGATGTCCTGGAGGGGTGCTGTGATGGCCTGGAGGGGTGCTGTGATGTCCCTGGAGGGGTGCTCTGATGTCCTGGAGGGGTGCTCTGATGGCCCTGGAGGGGTGCTGTGATGGCCTGGAGGGTTCTGTGATGTCCTGGAGGGTTCTGTGATGTCCTGGAGGGGTGCTGTGATGTCCCTGGAGGGGTGCTGTGATGTCCCTGGAGGGGTGCTGTGATGTCCTGGAGGGGTGCTGTGATGTCCTGGAGGGGTGCTGTGATGTCACTGGAGGGGTGCTGTGATGTCCTGGAGGGGTGCTGTGATGTCCTGGA